GAGCCGGTCGGCCGAGCGGACAGCACGCTGGACTTGTGATCCTGTGGTCCTGGGTTCGATCCCAGGCGCCGGCGAGAAACAATGGGCAGAGTTTCTTTCACCCTATGCCCCTGTTACCTAGCAGTAAAATAGGTACCTGGGTGTTAGTCAGCTGTCACGGGCTGCTTCCTGGGGGTGGAGGCCTGGTCGAGGACCGGGCCGCGGGGACACTAAAGCCCCGAAATCATCTCAAGATAACCTCAAGATTATCGAAGAAATATCAAATATATAAAAATAAGTTATCGGAAGAATAATTGGCATGTTACTTGCTGAATTCCTCGACATTTACTCAAAATTTATGATAAAATATGGGATTAATAAGCAGAAATATGCATTGAATTTTAGAATAATATTGATGGAGAATGAGATTTTTAAATATAGCCACGAGGTAATAACTTTAATACTACAACTTGGTCAGGTGTAAATAATGAAGTTATTAGAATTTACAAAATGTCTGTTGAATTAAAAGCTCACCTGAAACGCACATATGCATGAATAGACATATTCGTCATATTTCATATAATGATAGATATTGAAGGAGAATGAAGTAGACAATACAAGTAGGTGTTAAAATACCCTCTAGGAGAATATTGAGTATTAATTTGGCGACCAATATGAGCTCGTCTGATCTCATCTTAGCTATTATTAAAATTCTTGCTAATTGAAAGATATCAACACTCATTAAACTGTAATATTATCTACACTAGACTGGGAACCTGACCTCAGCTGAGACAGTTGAACAACAAGGACTTGACCTTATGAGAATGACCTCAAGTGTCACCGTTCAAATTCAAGGACGTCATCCATAGAAAACGTAAATATTACGATGATATAAATTAACCTAATTCGATACATTTATAACGAATTGGTCGATTCCGGAAAAAAATACGATGTGTTTAGTGAGAGGACGAGTTACTCCTGGACAGAACCATTATACATCCACCATTATTCCTCGACACAACCAGACATCGACCATAACTCGTAGTCACAACCAGACATCGACCATAACTCGTAGTCACAACCAGACATCGGCCATAACTCGTAGGCACAATCAGACATCGACCATAACTCGTAGTCACAACCAGACATCGACCATAACTCGTAGTCACAACCAGACATCGACCATAACTCGTAGTCACAACCAGACATCGGCCATAACTCGTAGACACAATCAGACATCGACCATAACTCGTAGTCACAACCAGACATCGGCCATAACTCGTAGTCACAACCAGACATCGGCCATAACTCGTAGTCACAACCAGACATCGGCCATAACTCGTAGACACAATCAGACATCGACCATAACTCGTAGTCACAACCAGACATCGACCATAACTCGTAGACACAACCAGACATCGACCATAACTTTAAAACACAACCAGACATCTACCATAACTCGTAGTCACAACCAGACATCGACCATAACTCGTAGACACAACCAGACATCGACCATAACTCGTAGTCACAACCAGACATCTACCATAACTCGTAGTCACAACCAGACATCGGCCATAACTTGAAGACACAACCAGACATCGACCATAACTTGAAGACACAACCAGACATCGACCATAACTCGTAGTCACAACCAGACATCGACCATAACTCATAGTCACAACCAGACATCGACCATAACTCGTAGTCACAACCAAACATCGACCATAACTTGAAGACAAAACACAGACCTCTTATTGACCAGCCTATCCATACAACCAAACTATTTGTGTGGTTGTATAGATACACTGCGTGTGGTGTATGTTGTCACCATACAACCACACTATTCATGCTATCACGACTTGCCTCATGATCTGGGTAAAAGTGTGTGGATTTCTGCCACACCTCTTCAAACAGCCGCTATTCTCCAGTGCTAGGGGAAAATGTGATGTTCAATGTTATTGAACATTGAAGCATGTTATATTGAAGATGCTCATCGAGTATGTCTGGTGTTCAATGAGCAGGTGTAATGCTCACAGAAGTAATGTCTAATTCCTCTAATAGGTTGAGCACTGTTCCTTCAGTACATTCCAATACCCAAGCTCTAAGTCTGTCCTTGTATACCTTCCAAGTGCTATACAGAACTTGGAATGATACTGTCAATCAACCTCGCCGATTGATTGACAGTTGAGAGACGGACCTAAGAGTCGAAGCTCAACACCCGCAAGCACAACTAGGTGAGTACAACAATGCTTGGCTTCTCGCTTGCCCCTAATATTTGTCCTAATATCCGTCCTAAATTGTTAATAACCTCTACGGTGATACCCTGCCACATTACATTGTCAATTCTTCATATCTCATCCCATGCTATCAACGACCATCTACATCACAGTATAGGTCTTCAGGTCTTACCACCTTACTTTCTTACTAAGCAAGATTTTAAAGTATGGTTTTTAATATACTGTATAACAGGTATATTATTTACCTTTAACTATGAAGATAAAACTGCATCTCTTCACCTTCAGCACCAATGATTACCAATCAGACATTTTAAATTAAGCAGCTTCTCGTCAGCAAAACACCACTTTACTGACATAAGTAACAGACCAACAGAGTCCCTCAATAACTTTCTAGAGAATAAACTTTGATTAGAAAGTGAGTAAATGACTTAAAAGCACTAGAATAGCGGTGATAAGTTACCTACGGATTATTAAGCAAGCGCGACCCCTCTTTCGTATAGGGAAGGCAGCTCCCCCTCATACGTGCTCAAGCCCGCAAATGAGGAGATGGCAGAGGGCAGGGTATCCACCCTCTGCCATTCCCAGAGGGCGGATACCCTGCGGATACCCAGAAAAATGCCAACAGCTATTCGTTAAACTAAAACAACTACCTGTTTGTAGCGGCCACCTGCCAATCGACAATGGACCCCGATGTCAGGACCGTTATAGATGAGGCGAAATCCTCACACCGGGTAATCCAATGCCATTTATCAGGCTCCAAGGCTATATATATCACCGGGTTGAGTTGCCTTTACCGTCAAATATATCACCGAACCTCGAGAAACACTGAAGCTCTCAGGAAAGATGTTTCCTCGTGTCAGAACTTACGAGTGCGCCAAATTGTTTTTTTTATTTGTGGTGGATTTCGTGTCTATTACTACCGTGAGAGTCATTACGATCACACCAACACGTTACTGACGAAGTGTGGCTCGTTCGCTAATTTCAAACTGTCGTTCAGTCATACCAACACTGACAAACATTCTTTTGGGGGTTGGGATTAATATCAACCCAAAGAGTGTTACCAGACCCAAAAGATTGGCGGGCGGAGGGCTGGAAGGTTTCAAACGGTTTGCAAACGTATCAGACCATGTTGAAATGTATTTTATTTTTTTATTAAAAATATTAAATGGTGTTTGGAAGCATCATAAGAAGCTGGAAAGCAGGAAGTTATCAGAGGGTGCTAGAAAAAATAATGCGCTCCTTGAAGACACCACACAATGCTGGAAGATATCAAAAGGTGTTGGTAGATATCAGACAGTGGGAACGTAATCATACTTTACCATAATAAAACAGACGCTGCTTGAAGATATCAGACGTTCATCGTGCTCGTCTGACCTGGTGTGTCATGACGTATCTTCCTCATAAGATAGATGGAGAGAACTGTATGTAATCTTTCCCCTCACTTCTACAGGTGATGCAGAATTTTTATTTTGCTTCAAGGGAGACCAATTCATCACTCCCCTCGTCACAGAAACATTTCCTTGATGATGGAGAGTGGTCAGTGCTGTTTCCAACTCTAGCTTGGAGATGAGTTTTTTTTAGCTTCAGGATGGCATGGAAAAGCTTGGAGATAACCTGGTCTAACCTGGAGATGACCTGGTCTAGCCTGAGGAGGACTTGTCTTAGCCTGACGATGACCGCTTACCTCTAGAGAACTATCCACCCAAAACCTTCATTTCGTTGAAAAACAAGTTGAAGAACAAGCTGGAGACCAAGAGGATGATTGGGCTTGTTCAGGTCTTGGAGACCGGGGGTCATTAATGCTGGGTAATAATGTCATTTTCGAAGCACACTCTCTTCAGTTTTTGCGTTCCAGTTGAAGTAATTAACTTTTATTATACTTTGCTCCAAGTAGTATTTTATTATTATCTATGAATATGAAAACATTATGTACAAATTAAATTTTGTTTATATTTACATTGATATGAATTAAAATAAAATTATTGATAAGCAGATAATGACATAACAAATATTATACATAAAATATCATTATCACCCTTTATTGTATTCAAGTACAGCAATTCTTAATCGACTGTTGCTGGAATAACAGCTTACTCTTAAAGTTTATCACTATTCAGCCTGTCCTCCTAAGGTTCCCAACGTCAAGAAATTTTCATACTAAAGTTCCATATCCTAACCTACTAGACGACCCAAAACAGAAAACAGGACAGCATGTCAATTTCGCGAGCCGCTATCATTATATAGTACAACAATTTTAAGGCCATAGAGTATACGTCAAAATACGACGTTCTATAGATGAACGGTTTGCACTATTGTACTAGATTCCAGAGGAAGACACTAGGTTAAACTCTTGTTATAACACTTTTACGTATACCAAAATAGTAAACCAAGAAATACACCGATACACACTTGTCTTCGTCATCAATATTTCCTTATTTCCTGAAGTTAAATTAGCCATGTCTGTTTTAAGATTAACCCTGTGAGAATGTAGCTCCACAATGCGTGCTGGCGCTAACTAGAGTGACCGCATGGTAATGAAGACTACCATGCAGGGTAATGGAGGCCGATCATAATCTTGGTTAGTCATGCATACTTGCAAAGGTAACTGGATGCAGCCTGTGGCTATGTAGCTTGGTAATGCTGTAATGTAGTTTAGTAATACGTTGCTGTATTAACTGGATTGCCTCATAACGCAAATAATTATGCGTTGCTGTTCTTTCTTTTCTTTTGTTTGGCTCTTGTATATTAGGGTTGTATTTGTAAGCAGCCTTCGTCAGCGTCAGTATGCAACAACAAGCATCAGTGTGCAACAACAAGCATCAGTATGCAACAACAAGCATCAGTGTGCAACAACAAGCATCAGTGTGCAACAACAAGCATCAGTGTGCAACAACAAGCATCAGTGTGCAACAACAAGCAACAGTGTGCAACAACAAGCATCAGTGTGCAACAACAAGCATCAGTGTGCAACAACAAGCATCAGTGTGCAACAACAAGCATCAGTGTGCAACAACAAGCATCAGTGTGCAACAACAAGCATCAGTGTGCAACAACAAGCATCAGTGTGCAACAACAAGCATCAGTGTGCAACAACAAGCATCAGTGTGCAACAACAAGCATCAGTGTGCAACAACAAGCATCAGTGTGCAACAACAAGCATCAGTGTGCAACAACAAGCAACAGTGTGCAACAACAAGCATCAGTGTGCAACAACAAGCATCAGTGTGCAACAACAAGCATCAGTGTGCAACAACAAGCAACATTGTGCAACAACAAGCATCAGTGTGCAACAACAAGCATCAGTGTGCAACAACAAGCATCAGTGTGCAACAACAAACAACAAGCATCAGTGTGCAACAACAAGCATCAGTGTGCAACAACAAGCATCAGTGTGCAACAACAAGCATCAGTGTGCAACAGTGTCAGTGTGCAACAACAAGCATCAGTGTGCAACAACAAGCATCAGTGTGCAACAACAAGCATCAGTGTGCAACAACAAGCATCAGTGTGCAACAACAAGCATCAGTGTGCAACAACAAGCATCAGTGTGCAACAACAAGCATCATCAGTGTGCAACAACAAGCATCAGTGTGCAACAACAAGCATCAGTGTGCAACAACAAGCAACAACATCAGTGTGCAACAACAAGCATCAGTGTGCAACAACAAGCATCAGTGTGCAACAACAAGCATCAGTGTGCAACAACAAGCATCAGTGTGCAACAACAAGCATCAGTGTGCAACAACAAGCATCAGTGTGCAACAACAAGCATCAGTGTGCAACAACAAGCAACAAGCATCAGTGTGCAACAACAAGCATCAGTGTGCAACAACAAAGCATCAGTGTGCAACAACAAGCATCAGTGTGCAACAACAAGCATCAGTGTGCAACAACAAGCATCAGTGTGCAACAACAAGCATCAGTGTGCAACAACAAGCATCAGTGTGCAACAACAAGCATCAGTGTGCAACAACAAGCATCAGTGTGCAACAACAAGCATCAGTGTGCAACAAGCAAGCATCAGTGTGCAACAACAAGCATCAGTGTGCAACAACAAGCATCAGTGTGCAACAACAAGCATCAGTGTGCAACAACAAGCATCAGTGTGCAGCCACAACAAGCATCAGTGTGCAACAACAAGCATCAGTGTGCAACAACAAGCATCAGTGTGCAACAACAAGCATCAGTGTGCAACAACAAGCATCACAAAACAAGCATCAGTGTGCAACAACAAGCATCAGTGTGCAACAACAAGCATCAGTGTGCAACAACAAGCAACAGTGTGCAACAACAAGCATCAGTATGCAACAACAAGCATCAGTGTGCAACAACAAGCATCAGTGTGCAACAACAAGCATCAGTGTGCAACAACAAGCATCAGTGTGCAACAACAACGTCAGTGTGCAACAACAAGCATCAGTGTGCAACAACAACATCAGTGTGCAACAACAAGCATCAGTGTGCAACAACAAGCATCAGTGTGCAACAACAAGCATCAGTGTGCAACAACAAGCATCAGTGTGCAACAACAAGCATCAGTGTGTGTCAGTGTGCAACAACAAGCATCAGTGTGCAACAACAAGCATCAGTGTGCAACAACAAGCATCAGTGTGCAACAACAAGCAACACAACAAGCATCAGTGTGCAACAACAAACATCAGTGTGCAACAACAAGCATCAGTGTGCAACAACAAGCAACATTGTGCAACAACAAGCAACATTTCCACTCCTGCCATCATCAGCTTTACGGTCAGCACACCTGGCTTTACCTCTTATGTCAAGTCATACACAACAGATGAGATTGGCTTTTTACCCCCTGGCAGATGCACAGGGGATGGAGGGAAGGGAAGCACATGCATTCACTCCATTGTTTTTGTCTCACTAAACTGCTCCGTTGATTAAACAAACTGATTTTTGTTGCACACATTACATTCATCATTCACAATTAGAAAAGTGTTACATTTTAAGTGGCTTTTGTCTAACCAGAAGCGTTCGAATAACCTATCCCATTAGCTTGTTATTTTTTTGTATTAATATTTTACAAGTGTACGATATTAATCATTCGTTAAAACAGGTTTGTACACTTATACCTGGGTATTATATTTGTGTAAACTAAAGTCACTTTCACGATACCAGAATTTAAAGTGCACGATTACCTTAGATGGCGCGTAGGTTATCGTAGATGACGCGTAGGTTATCTTAGATGACGCGTAGGTTATCGTAGATAACGCGTAGGTTTTCGGTAATGGGTTGGTTAGAATGCCATTTTACGTTCTCATTAAAATCGTGATTAAATTGACTTCCTTGGCTAACTATAACGATCCTGTGGATCGTTGAACGCTGAACGTTGTAAGTCGTTTCATGAATATAAGAAAATAAGAATTACGTTGCATGGCAAGAGGCCAGTTGATGCTATACCAGTTTTAATTAACCTCGTCTGCCCGTTGATCCAATAATCTATTGCTGAAACCTGTTAAATGATTTGTTTTAAAAAGTTCTTACTGGAAGCACATTTGACTAATCCACATCAGTTCCCAATCAGCAAGAAACACTTAACTCTCTTCTATATTTATTTAACAATGAATTTCTCCAGTTTCGACCTGTGGTTATGGGTTATGATGTCTTCCGAATAGGGCTGTTGTTGTTTTTTATTCAGCTACTCGGAACAAAACGTTACAAGTAGCACGGTAGTTACAAGTAGTAGTTACAAGTAGTAGCTATATTGAGCCCGTAGTGGACTTACCTGGCACAGGCGAGGGGCTGTAACTCTGTATTCTGACTTCGACAGAGCTCTGTCTATACAGCCCTTGCTTATGTCCCCTAATCAATTTAAAAAAATCCAGTATATCACGCCCTGGTCGGGCGGCTCTACAGTGAGTGTAAATTGAGACGCTTGAATATGTCATCCTATAAAAGGTTTCTCTGTATTTTCCAAGGATAATTTATATAAATTTATTAATTCTCCGACCAAAACACTCAAACTTATTCCAAGTTGGGTTTAACTATTGTCGTCCTTCATCACTACTCAAAGGCCAACAAAATATAAAGACCGGAACGACTCTTGTGAACGTGTGCTGGGAGCCTTTTATTATCAACTACGATTTTTCAGAGTGATGTGTGATTGCACCTGCAGTTATTGCTTCCAACTCCCTTCCACCCCCCACCCCCTAATAGATGTTAAGCACGAGTTTTATAATCCCTCTATCGTCAATATTACGGACACATCAGCTCTATATAATTTTCTCTAATAAGCTCTAGCTTATTTGAAATATTATTACTATGTTATTTTAGGAAACTAAATTATTGACTTAGTAATGTTAGTTCAGGTAAGGCTAAGGTAGGTTAGGTTAGGGTGGGTAGGTTAGGTTGAGTCATATATCTACGTTAGTTTGAACTCAAATTAAAGCAAATTAATTCACACATAATGAAATGCATAGCTTTATCATTTCACGAGAAAAAAATACAAAAAAAATTATATTCAGGAAAACTTGCTTATTATGTAAATTGGGCCTTGCACAGTAGGCCAAGTACTGCATTCTGGCTACTAGGTACAACACACATATATATATATATATATATATATATATATATATATATATATATATATATATATATATATATATATATATATATATATATATATATATATATATATATGTATATATATATATGTGTGTGTGTGTGTGTGTGTGTGTGTGTGTGTGTGTGTGTGTGTGTGTGTGTGTGTGTGTGTGTGTGTGTATCACGAAAATAAACACGTGATTAAACATGTAACAGTGTCAGATCACGGCGGAAAATTGAAACAGGAATTTCCTTAAGTACTTTCGTATACTAATACATCTTCAGAAGGAGTGGTTTTACAGGTCGAGTACTGGACATAAATAGGCAGGAGAGAATGGTGGAGTGAGGTGAGGTACAATACGTATACACTGCAGAGGGCCTATTGACCCATCCGATGCAGCAACCACACACAGGCCCACACATAGATAATTATTGCATAAAATAGTAAATATTTACAATGAATTAGTGAGACAAATGTGTTCCAATGATCCTACTTAAATCGCCCTTTAATTGATCTATTAAAATGGATCTAAGTTATATATTGACCACTGCTAATGTTCAAATTACTTTCCTTTGTGATCTGTATCAAAGCAGATTCAATTATGTTTCTGTTATAGCTACTTTTACAATTCGTTATTGAAGAAGCTATTTCCCAATCAATTTGCTGAGCATCTTCTGACAGATGAACAAAGAAAGCATTAGACAATTGGATTGAGAATTAGACAAATACTCTGTAAGACATGGCCAATTATCTAATGCTTTGTTTATTCATGTTGTTGTTCTTGATGTCTTGTTGTTCATGTTGTTTTGTTTCTTGTTGATGTTCATACAACAACATGAAACTCGTGTAGAAACAAAGAGTTAACACCGTAAGTTAACAGCCCTAAATGGTGGACAGTTAAAGATCCCTCGTCCTAAAGATGGCTACATTAACCTGACTTCTTATGATCTTACCCAGGACCAACGAGACCTCTTAAATCTTGGTTTAAATTGTCAATTCATATCTAAACCAAAGATGCATCAAAAACGCCTGGAAATCGAAATGCTTCTGGACGATATCCATAAGCTAGAAGACAACAAAAAAGTCATCACCACCAATCTTAACCCCACGACTCAAAGAAGCAGCAAAACAACTAAAAAATCTGAAAGACGTAACAATAAGAAAAGCCGACAAAACAGCAGCATATGTATTGATTCCTACCCAAGAATACATGAACAAAATTAGCGACATCCTTAGTGATGACAAAAAAATTCAACGAATCACGAGGAACCCCGTGGAAGACCTTAGGCGGAAAGTAAACAAAACAATTACAGCAATCAACGCAAAGAAAGGTAGTGTGCATTTCAATAAACTTCAAGGCGACTATGGCTTAGGATATGCCTACGGCAATGTTAAGACACACAAACCAGGTAACCCACTACTCCCTATAATCAGCCAAATACCAACTCCAACCTATCACCTGGCAAAACGACTCAATGAACTCCTAACTCTATACACTACAAGTAAGTATAGTCTACAATCATCAGCAGATCTCCTATAATTAATCAAATCTACTAAGCCTGACGGAATCATTGCTTTCCTGGACGTTGAATCCCTATTTACCAACGTCCCAGTCGACACAACCATAGGAATGATACTGGACAGAGTATACAGAGACGAGAGCACCCCCAAATTAGACATACCTGAGCCACACTTGAAGAGTCTTCTCGAAGCATGTACAAAGGAAGCCCCTTTCATCAGTCCACAAGGAGACATGTATCTACAAATAGACGGAGTAGCAATGGGCTCCCCCTTAGGAGTTTTATTTGCTAATTTTTATATGGGAACCATCGAAGACAGAGTCTTCAGTAGCAGACAAAAACCAACTGTATATTGCCGTTATGTAGATGACATATTCGTAATAGTAAAAGACTCAGATGAACTAATTGACCTAAAAAGACACCTAGAGAGAGAGTCAGTACTCCGATTTACACATGAAAATAGTGAAAATAACAGTCTGCCATTCTTGGATGTACTAATAACAAAAACAGGAACCTCTTTAAGCACCAACGTATATACCAAGCCCACCAACATAGGATTATGCCTGAACGGTAGAAGTGAGTGCCCCCAAAGATACAAAGCCAGTGTTCTCAATGCTTATATTCGTCGAGCGCTTACCCACTGCTCTGAATGGAGCAACGTGAGTAGAGAGTTTGAAAGAGTAACTCAGGTATTGGTGAACAACGGATATAGCAACGCGGAAATAAACGCTGCTATAAGAAGACACTTGGACCGTTGGTATAATCCTGAACCTAGAACAGAAACCACAACACCTCCAATAAAATTATATTACAAATCAACCATGCACAGTGAACATATAAAAGAGGAAAGAATAATGAAAGAAATAATCCGTAAAGGAGTAAAAAGCACTACTCCTAACCAAAACATAAACCTGATAATATTCTACAAAACCAAGAAGACTTCTGAACTCCTTATCAAAAACAGCCCGAAGCCGACGGAGAACCCTCTACAGCAGTCAAGCGTTGTATACATGTACACTTGCCCCCACGAAGGATGTAACCTTCAATCTAAGTACATAGGTATGACGTCGACCAAGCTGACGAGGCGTTTGACATGCCATCTTCAATCCGGTGCCCCCAGGAATCACATGAGACAAGCCCATGACATTACTCTAACAAGAGAAATGTTGAACAAGAATACCTGCATAATAGACAAAACCCAAGATGCAAGACGATTACAAATTCTTGAAGCAATTCACATAAGAATAGAACAACCTACCATGAACACCCAAATCACGGAACTGTTTACTCTACCCACCATGAGAGTAAGGACAAGACAAGAACATAACGATGCCAACACAGAAGACAATGTTCAACATAACAGGCCAATTACACTTGATTAATCTTTGTATGTAGATAGGAGCTGCCTCGTATGGGCCAATAAGCCTTCTGCAGTTACCCTATTCTATGTTCTTAT